TGAACACAATATTTGGATAGATTATATTATTTACCGTCGTTTCTTTGTGTTACCTACTAACAATATGAAAAATAAACTTGCAACATTACTAAGAAAAAATAGGATACATAGTAGCACTATTATATAAAAAAATAAGACAAGGGATAAAATATGATTATATAATAATAAGGAAGGCAAGATGAGAGAAAAAAGTAAGGAAACGACACCACCACACCAAATCTGTGATTCCATGAAGTGGCACTTTTTGTCGTTACGTAACGGTGGATTTAACGATATACAATAAAATTTAAGTAACAATCAAAACAAACATTATATTTAAAGTAATAATACAATGTAATACAATAGGGTAACAACCATCCAAACAAGTTGTTAGTAACCTAAAAAATTATGTGGCAATAAGCAATAGTGCATTACTTACCATCACCAGTCACCACTCACAGAAAGCTAGTTTTTCCGGAACCAGCGATCAGTTTACATATATACAAAAAGGTAAAGAAACTCTTTTGTGTTCATTTAATTTAATTTAGGGTTCTTATTCTTTTATTTGTGTCCTTTGAAATCGTTAATTAACTTTTCCATAATTTTCTTTGGGATCTTTTGCACAATAGCCATCTGAATTTATTGTTCACTTTTAGTGGCTAGTATACATAGATTATATACAGTTATACATATATTATATATTTATTTTTTATTTTAATTTAAATAATTAAATGGACAGTTATTTAGGTTAATTATTTATTTTCTTTTATGTTCGAGCTGGCGGGTTGACTGGAGTTAGGCTGAAGAGGATCCTATTCTAACCACACTCAATAACTAATGGACTCAGTTGAGCCAGCCATTTTTTACGATTTATATCGGTCGGCCTTATTTCTATTTTGTTGCTTTTCAATTACATGTTAATCTTGCAGAAGAGATAACATCTTGCAGAAGAGAAGTTGGGATTTCAACTTTATAGATTATATATTTTAGAACGATACTATTAAGTAGTTTTAAACTTAATATGTGCACATATTTAATGAATTTTTTAATATAAATATAATACTTGAACAACCTATATTTGGTTGCTCGAGCCCGTATCAGGACTTCTACCTTTGCCCCTGAATTCTCCAGTATAAACTTATGCGGTTTCAGGAGTTGATTTCGGACGAAGACAAATCTAAACTTTTAAATTAAAGGGTAAGTTAATGTTGCAGAAGTAATTTTTTTGACAATACATACGAGTTTAAAATGAGAATATATCTTTTAATTTTTGTAATTATATAACTACAATTCAATTTTAAGTTCTATATACTGATGGTATAAATAATATTTATATAATCCGAACACTTAATAGGTAATTGCATATGAATCTCTTAATAAGAATTAATTAGTAATATAATTTAAAATGTTAATTGATCTACTATCACAAATTAAAATTAACCTGTAAAACAACATGGCCTAATGTACAAAAATATCACTTCATAATGAATTAGTATTTTAATGATCCGATAAATTTACAGCAAACCAGCCAATATTCGTTTATACAACTAATCAAAAATATTTGGCAGAATGCTTGACAGCCCCATTCATTGATCTTGTCAAAAATATTTATTTAGACACTTTAACTAACGAGAAATTTAATTTTATTATATGTGAGACACAAATATGACTAATTTGCCGTAGTTGAAAAGTATAACTTGTTGGCCCAACTAATTGGGCCAAAACAAAGAATAGGTGCCACGTGCTTGTGCTGTGACATCGAATTATAAGGGATCTTAACATATTGTCATTTTTGCTAAGATGGACAAAGATTAATTTTTGTCCGCAGTCAAAATTATTTATATTTGATAGCCGCAAAAATGTATACAATTTATATATTTTTGTATATAATATATAGAAAAATATATATACAAATATTAATAATTATTTTCGAATATTATTTTAAAAGCGGCTATACAGTGTCATTTCCCAAAGTAGTTTTAGCAATTTATAATTGTTGTTGGTGTATACTCAGTTTATTTACAAGTGTATAATAAATGTGTAATCAAGTGTATAATGTATACACGTTGATTATACACTAATTAATTATACGCCATATGCTAGCTACCTAAAATTTGTAAAAACTAGAAACTATGATTCTTTTTTATTAATTATGATCTTTGCTGGGCTGCTGTATAGGGTAAAATCCCCTATTAGTAAGATTGTTGGAGGGGTCCTGATCATGTTCATATTAAAATCTCAAGCAGTTTAACATGCTTTTTCATGTTCTGATGATGTGTCAAATGTGAATAAAATACTAATAAGCAGAGGAGACTGCTGACTGTCTAACAGCAAGTTGGTTTTGTGAATCAATCAACACTGATTAACGTACTCTATATGATTAACATTTTATGTATTAATGCATTAAAACAGAAATAATTTAGAGAAAGGCCAACACTACAAACTTGATAGTCGATTAGTTGAATATGAAGCTTATAAAATATGCATGTGATCACACATTTCTTTCTTATTTATTTTTCTATCTGTTTACAAAATGGACCCTATTATTATGTCTACCAAATCAAAAAAAGAAAATTTATCAGTCACTATTAGAAGGTCAATTTTCTCCACAACAAATCAACAATTAAAAAGACAAATATAAGATTTTATTTTCATCGTACCGACACAAAGAGAGGGGAGGGGGCAAGGGTTTAAAGTTTTAAACTTTAAAGAGTTGAGAACAGTAGGGTCAATATGATACATTGGAACTCTATGCTTAGGTGATCTAAGTAGGAATTAAAATTATTAGATTACAACTCCAAACTAAATTTTACATAGTTCGCCATTCTTTTGACGGCCTTTTGCATTTTAACAATATTATATCAAAATAAAATTCTCATTTATATGTATTTTCAGCCTGCATGGCGAATCTTTTGCTTCTCAGGTGGTGTAAAACAATGGTGCTTGCATTGCGGGAGATGTCACTCGGACTTGAGATACTTCCCCTGGCTGGCAAGGGTGAGAGTTCATCCATTTGAAGAAAAGATATCGGAGTATACAAAGTGACCCTAATGCTATAATGGGGACAGCCATTCAATTACTCCATTTGAATCCAAATCATTATTTAACATGACTTTTTTGTATGAAACACGAACTATAATTTTTATTTCTGATATCTATGTCTGATTATCGTCTTCCAATTAACCGCTTTAATTTGTTTTGGTTTTTTGGTTCAAAGATGAAATTTTATTAGACATCAATATGCATTGAAATGGGTTTAAGGTTTAGCGTTTAGCTCTAGTCTAACCCCATGCTGGCTTTCGAATTACTTTCAACAACTAAGAGCTGCATCCTACAAATTACATAGTGATGCTCGCTTGAGCATATATAACTACTAGAAATTCGACAAAAACCGACCAAGGTCGATCGATCAATTTTGGTCGGTCAAAAAACCGACCAAAGTTGGTCGGTTTTTCAATTTTTTTTTTTTTTTTTTTTTACGAAACCGACCAACTTTGGTCGGTCAATTAAATTCAAAAAAAAAAATATTGCAAAGAAAACCGACCAAAGTTGGTCGATTTCTTGAAACATAAATTTCGCGGGACTCAAAAATAGTTTCCCGCATTTTTGCGCCAAAGAAAACCGACCAAAGTTGGTCGATTTCTTGAAACATAAATTTCGCGGGACTCAAAAATAGTTTCCCGCATTTTTGCGCCAAAGAAAACCGACCAAAGTTGGTCGATTTCTTGAAACATAAATTTCGCGGGACTCAAAAATAGTTTCCCGCATTTTTGCGCCAAAGAAAACCGACCAAAGTTGGTCGATTTCTTGAAACATAAATTTCGCGGGACTCAAAAATAGTTTCCCGCATTTTTGCGCCAAAGAAAACCGACCAAAGTTGGTCGATTTCTTGAAACATAAATTTCGCGGGACTCAAAAATAGTTTCCCGCATTTTTGCGCCAAAGAAAACCGACCAAAGTTGGTCGATTTCTTGAAACATAAATTTCGCGGGACTCAAAAATAGTTTCCCGCATTTTTGCGCCAAAGAAAACCGACCAAAGTTGGTCGGTAATTTCCAACCAACTTTGGTCGGTTTTCTTTGCAATATTTTTTTTTTTGAATTTAATTGACCGACCAAAGTTGGTCGGTAATTTCCAACCAACTTTGGTCGGTATTCCTTACCGACCACAAAAATACCGTCCACAGGTAAATGGTCGCATTTTGGTCGGTTTTTGGCCATTACCGACCAACGTTGGTCGGTTTTTACCGGATTTCTAGTAGTGACATATATAAGTAGTAAAGGAAAAATAAACACTATATTAAAAAAAGCCATTCATCCAGATTATACTGGCATGTGTTCATGGGAGTTTGGCATTAAACCCTATATATATATATATATGATATAATGTAACTTTTTATATTGAGTTACTGACTAATAGTAATATAATGAATTCATATTAGCAAAAGAAAAGTCTGTAGGCCCTTGATATCTGATTGACCTTATATACTTAGTGTATTGTATTGTTTGGCGAAGGAAGTTTAGCTGAACCTCCTTCCGTCCACCTTGCTTCATTATTGTATCTCTCACGAGATGAAAGGAAGGATTGACAATTTATCCGTCCATTAAATTCTGCTACTTGTAGTGATCCACTTTTAGAAGGCTTTTTATATTGTTCCAACCATTCTCGCTGGGTTGATACTTTACTGAAACTACTTTTTAACAGTAAGAAATCAACCGCGCAATATTATTGTCCAATATTTGATTAAAAAAGAACTATCTATTTCACAATTAGTTAAACTCTCCGTTGTCTTTCTTTCCTTGCTGTTCTTTAATTTCATTTTGTTTTTCTTGGGGTTGTTTGACGGTCTAGTTTGCATATATTAGCAACGAGTACATTAATTCTTTGATTCGCATGGGGTTAGGTGCTAACTGCCAAATATTATAATCCACTTCAAAAGTACCAGCTTACGAAATCAAAGGACTTATATATCACCAAATTATATCCTTCCAATTTAAAAGGGCCATATATTTGTCTTAGAATCATCAGTTATCAAACAAGCAAGTTAAGAAAAAAAATGGCAACCTTAAAATTTCTTTTAGTTGTCATTCTTTGTCTTGCATTTGCCTTCGGGCTTGCTAATTCACAAGGCTTGCAAGTAGGGTTTTACAAGAAAACATGTCCAAATGTAGAAGCAATTGTCAAAAAGGCAACAACTGACTTTGTTTCTCGTGCTCCTACTTTGGCTGCCCCATTATTGAGAATGCATTTTCATGATTGTTTTGTTAGGGTAAGCAAGTGATTTAATGCCTTATCATCTCTGCATATATTATTTGGTTTTTTTTTTTTACGTTCAATGCACTACAAAAGGATTAGTTTATGTATGGTCACTGAAATTACTTGCTAAAACAGTAGAAAGTCTCTGGAAACTAAATTTGTCATATAAAGTAACTAAACTTTATACACTAATAGTAATTTCACAAATTTTACTCACATAGTACTTGGTAAATTTACCTTGCACAATGGATGGGCCTGAGGATCCACATTTCAATATGAGAGCTAATGAGAAGGGATTGGAGGTGTGAATTGAGACATATTTGGAGGGAAAGTAATATGAAGATGTTAGCTAAGCAAAGTCCCGGTCCTGCTCCTGGCTTAACCATCCTACGTGAACCCCTACTGCAATCAGAAAGTGAAAAAAGAATGATAACTTAGGCGCGAGAACACATAGAATTGTTACAATTAGTTAGAGCGTAAAGCCTTAACATGTTCCAAAAAAGGAAGTATACGGGTGGTAATTAAAATTTTAGTGACTTTATTATTATGGTAAGTAAAGTTTAATATTTTTAATGTAGTTAAAAGATAGTTTTGTGATTTTATTGATTCTATAAAATGATGATGAAACCCTCTAGCTAACTGAACATCATCTAACTAACAAAGTTCCAAATAAACAAGTCTTCTTCTGAGTTTTTATCTATATTTTTTTTATGTAGGGATGTGATGGTTCAGTGCTACTGAATTCAACAAAAGGTAATCAAGCAGAGAAAGATGCAATTCCAAATCAAAGCCTGAGGGGATTCCAAGTGATTGATGCTGCTAAATCTGCTTTAGAAAAACAGTGTCCTGGCATTGTGTCTTGCACTGATATTTTAGCCTTAGTAGCTCGTGATGCTGTTTCACTGGTAACTAGTTAGTACATTCAGTCCATTTATATATAATTAGCATATAAATGAAGTATAATTCTTTCCTAAACACATTATGGGTTGTTTCAGATTAATGGACCAACTTGGCAAGTAGAGTTGGGAAGAAGAGATGGGAGAGTTTCAATTCTCTCAGAGGCCATAAGAAACCTGCCAACTCCTTTTGACAACTTTACTACTCTAAAATCATCATTTGGCGCTTTGGGCCTAAGTGTAAAAGACCTTGTTGTTCTATCAGGTAAGTTTATGGTTTGCATCAAAATTAAAGTAAAATTACTGCATCGGGAAGATTTAAAGTTCAAGAAACAATAATCTTTAGCTTTTATATTCTTTGGAAATCTGCACTTTTACCCCTTTAAATATCGATAAATTCTAATTTTGGTCCTTGTAATATCTGGCTATAAGCACATTTAACTGTTAATTATTGAAATGCGAACTTTTGATCCCTTTGTTGTAAATCTTTATACATATAACGAACTATAAACCATTATATTATTTGACAGCTCATGCGTTATGTTAAGTTTGTATCGTTACTCCATATCTGAGGGTAATATAATTCTAGAAATAGTGTAAATGTAACATATTTTCTATATAAAGGGACCAGAATGTCATAGTTTTTTAATAAATTAGAGGTTATATATGCTCAGTCACTTATTACAAGGACCAAAGCTAGAATTTACCAATAACCAAGCTAAGAACCAAAAGCGCTATTATTACTCTATCCTTTTCTTAATACTTTTTTCCTTATTTATTTGATATAATATAGGTGGACATACTCTTGGGGTATCACATTGTTTTTCCTTCGGAAGTCGTTTGTACAATTTCACTGGTAAAGGTGATACAGACCCAAACATGGATCAGAACTACATAGGTCAATTGAAGACCAAATGCAAGCCAAATGATGTGACCACTACTGTTGAAATGGACCCTGGAAGTGCCAAGAATTTTGACACAGATTATTACACTATGGTTAGCAAAAGAAGAGGGTTGTTCGCATCTGATGCAGCTCTTCTCACAAATACTCAAACAAAAGCTTATGTCTTGTCCCAATTAAATACCCCTGGATCAACTTTCTTCGAGGATTTTGGAGTATCAATGGTGAATATGGGCAAAATTGGGGTCCTTACTGGGAAAGCAGGTGAAATCAGAAAACATTGCGCTATTAGAAATTAATTAGAGGAATTTTAATAAGCTATTTCCCTTGCAGAATTTTAGCTTTCGTATCGTTTTGTTCAATGGGAACTTTACGTGCAATTAGTAATTTCTTCTTATTTTATTGTATGTTTTTTACTTTAGTTTGTTAAGCATGTAATTACTACATTAATAAAAGTGTTGTTTCCCTTTTATAACTACCATGCATATTATAATTGTCCTTTTTTTTTAATTTAATATTAGGAGGATTAGCAGCTTCTACCAGTAAATTTTAGTCATAAGATTCCAAAAAATGACGTTTCAAATAAGTACAAAGGTTGAAGGAGACCTCACAGCTAATATGACAACATAAGATATAGGATTATTCGAACTAATGACCAGTAAATCTAAATTCACTATCCAATTGATTGCTGTAGCCGTTTTGAAGCCTTTTTCAAACGAAATACTTATGACCCGTTTGGACATAGATTCTCAAATATTTTTTGAAAAAACTGGTTTTGATGAAATTTGATTTAAATTGAAAATGTGTTTTTTTTTGGGGCAAGTTTTGACATGTTAAAAAAACTTTTTTTTCAACTAAAAAGTCTCAAATGATCGTGATTTGGCAAAGAGGCAACTACAGTTTTCTTTCCAGTCTATTGACTTTGTTTTTCCTGCAAATTGGTTATACGCACGTCATAGAGAATATATATCTACTTAAGTACGAAAGAGAAACTTACAAGAAGGAACTAATTGTAGAATTAAACTCTACAATATACAAACCAAGGATCCAAAGTACAATAAATATGTTGAAGTGTTAGTTTCTAGTAAATATTTTTACTAAGTACGTAGTGGCATGTTCCAATTGTCCAATATAAGGAAAAAGTGACCAACTCTTTAAGCTATAAATTGCAAGTAATTGTAACTGGCTGATCTCACCAAATGTAATAGAAATAAAACAAGTAGCAAAACAGCTCGAAAACTTGACTTAACAAAGGATATGCCAAAAGCATGTATATAATTGCTGTCCTGGCTACTAGCTATAGTAGCAGGTATTAGTTTGTTGAAATAAGAACATGGACGTAACATGCACCATAACAAAAAGAACTACTGCATGCTCCAAAAAAAATAAAAAAATAAAAATAATAATTGAAAAAAAAGGGAGGACGAGCAAATAAACAAGCTATGGTTTTTATGTACATACCATAAATTATAGTTACTTTTCCTTATCAGAGCCCAATTTCTGGGGTTTTTCCTTAGTTACCATATGAGAAATCTAACCAATTTTTCGCACTTTATGTTTAAACATTTTTCCTGATGGCATCAGTTGAGAAGGTCGAGGTCAACGTGATTATGATATGTGATCTTACTGGCAAGTATAGGAAAGGGACAGACTATAACTAATCTACTTTTTAAACGCTATGTAAAGAGGAACGATAAATAATGGAGTATTAAACTAAACACATTTTAGTTAGACTGAAAAGAAAAGTGCCTATAAATTTGCTCTAATGCATGCTGTTTGAGTACAGAAACGCAACAAAACAAGAAATCTCTTTGAACAATAGCAACACAATGGCTACATTTAGCTCTTTGGGTTTTCTAGTATTGATATTTCTCGGTATCCTGGGGTCTAGCCATGGCCAGTTACAACTCAACTTCTATAGCAAGAGCTGCCCAAAAGCAGAGAAGATCATTCAAGGCTACGTTCAGAAGCACATTCCTAACGCTCCGTTTCTTGCAGCTGCCTTACTCAGAATGCACTTCCATGATTGCTTTGTCAGGGTAAGTATGTATATTTATTGTAATAATTGTCCAAGTTATTGGATTGAGACAGACTTAAATAGTGTGTTATGAGGATTCATATAACCGACCCCAAATTGCTTGGGATCGAGGCGAAATTACTATTATTGTTCATATGCAGCAACTTATTTGCTATATTTCATTTTCTGAGTGTACCTTTTGTGATTTATTCTTTCTTTGTTTTGGGTCTTGGCAGGGTTGTGATGCTTCTGTGCTCCTAAATTCCACTAAGAGTACAGGAAACCAAACCGAAAAAGTGGCAATCCCAAATCAAACACTGAGGGGATTCTCCTTCATTGATGGTATAAAGAAAATAGTTGAAGCTGAATGCCCCGGAGTTGTCTCTTGTGCTGATATTGTCGCCTTGGTTGCTAGAGACTCTGTAGTAGTCACCGTAAGCAAAAGTTTGAGCAAATAAATAATTAACTTCTTGAACCATTTCCTAAGTATTGTTCACATTCTCTTCTTCTTCTTGGAATAATAGGGAGGTCCATACTGGAAAGTGCCAACTGGTAGAAGAGATGGAAGAATATCAAATGCCTCAGAAGCCTTAGCAGACATTCCAGCTCCAACTAGTAACTTCACCAGGCTTCAGTCGTCGTTTGCCAAGAAGGGTCTTGATCTAAAAGACTTAGTCCTATTGTCCGGTAAGTCAAATTAATAGTACCATTATATATGGTGGTATTTAATTGTGTATAAAATTTAAGTAAGAAAGATTTTGGTATATAAGAAAATTATTTAAAGAAATTGCGGTCATCTTAAAGATGACATGACATTTCTGTAGCTAAACGAACATGTGCAAAATATAGAAATGGATCATTCTATAAAATGAAACAGAGGGAGTATTCATTTCTAGTCCTCTATGTATAGGTTTTTACTTTTTAACAATAAGTACTTTTCTTTCAGGTGCTCACACCATCGGAATTTCTCACTGCCCATCATTTTCCACACGTCTGTACAATTTCACTGGAACTTTTGGTACTCAAGATCCATCTCTAGACAGCGAATACGCTGCCAATCTTAAGGCCAAAAAATGCAAATCCGTTAATGACAATACAACAATAGTTGAGATGGACCCCGGTAGTTTCAAGACATTTGACCTTAGCTACTTCAAGCTTTTGCTCAAGAGGAGAGGCCTCTTCCAATCAGATGCAGCCTTAACAACAAGTTCTACGACAAAATCATACATCAACCAACTAGTACAAGGATCACTCAAAGAGTTCTATGCTGAATTTGCTAAGGCCATGGAGAAAATGGGGAAAATAGAAGTTAAGACAGGTTCTACAGGTGAAATCAGGAAGCATTGTGCAGTTGTGAATTAATAGTTGTTAGGACACTTTTCATTTTGGTGCCACGTTTCAAGGATTTTGTATTTTCTGTATCTACTTTGTGTGAATGCTTTGAGGTACATTGTATCATGTTCTTTTGTATCTATTCTGTACAATATCTGTAGCTTGATTATTTTGGCAATAAAACTGAGGTGCCAAGGGCAGCTTTTTTGTATAAATTGAAAGATTGGTCAGACATCTTCATGATATAAATCTTTTTCTTTTTTACTATAGTACTAACTAAGCCAGCAATGTTTTATCTTTCTAAACCAAAAACCTTTTCTCTAGTAATAACAAACTCACAGTAAGAATCAGGCAGATGAGGAGCAAAAACAACGCGTATAAACCTCCGAGTTTGTGTAGTAAAGCAATCTTCATCAGCAACTCTCTCTTCATTTCTTGACAAGAATAATCTTGTATTAACACAATTAGCCCATGACAAACCCAACGCAGCACACACTTTCCTCTCAGATGTATACAAGCAAGTGGAGTTCCCAATCCTTAAAACATCAGAATCATCAATTACATCCACAACCTGGTTGATTACCACTACCGCTAACCCAAAACGTCTAGCTTGCTCCTTCAATTTGCTTGAAATCTTGAAGAATAAACCCGATCTCTGCTTAAGGTCGCGCGCGTTGTTCTCAAATTCAAAGCGAAATAAAGCAGCAATGGAGTCAATTACTATTAACTTAATAGGGGGAAAGGAAGGAGGACGGGATAATAATAAAGAGTCTATTTGGGACAATACGTCGAACAGGTGGTGAGCAGAGTGAAGAGGGTGGGTTAGAATGTTACCTAAAGGATTGTGGAGTGTGGGGAAAGAGGAGGAGAGTTGGTGAAGGCGGCGGAGGGGAAAGGGAGATTCGGAGTAGAGGTATAAGGAGGAAGAAGAAAGGCCGCCAAGAGAAGTGGGGAGCTGAGCGGAGAGGAGGAGCTGAAGGGAGATTTGGGTTTTGCCGCAGCCGCTTTCAGCAACTAATTCGGTAATTGAATTGCAAGGAATGCCGCCGCCGAGAAAGCGGTCTAGAATTGGGCAGCCGAGGCTGCATTTCTGAACGGGGCTGGGACTAAGATGCTGAAGGAGATCCTCGGGTTTCATCAAATGCGCGCTTTTCTGCTGATTCAAAATGAGTAATGGTTGTAGTTATTGCTCATAGAGAGACGAAGGAACTTTATTATGATAAAAGTAAGCTAATTAACTTTAGACGTTTGTCGTGTATCTATGACGTTGATGACTTGGAAAAGATACGGTAGATGCGGGATGTAGCATCTGGTTCTTTTGAACTTATCTCTAAAACACTTCTGAAAGGAAGCATAAATTTATGGATAAATATTTATTAAAATTATAATAAATAATAGGGCAAAGGTCCAAATATGTTTTTGTACTATACGAAATTGAGCATATTTGTCATTCGTTAATATTTTAGCTCAAATATGTCCTTACCGTCACATAGTTGGCCCATATATGTTCTTAGAGTTACACAGTTGGCCCATATATGCCCTTTTAGAAACGGAATTCACTCAAACTAATTAGTTCTTTCGTTAATTGTATTAAAGTTTATTACAAACACTATTTCCTTTTTATTAGTACTTTTTTTTTTACCTTTCTCTTTTCTTTCTTCTTTTTTCTTTTCTTCTCTTTTTTTTTTCCTTTTTCTTTCTCCCTTATCCGTTTCCTCCATTACTGATGTCTTCTTCATTTTCTTCACCAATTTCACTTGACAAAACTCATGAATTCCAATTACTAAGAAAATTCTCCCATAAGCTAATCAAGATCCAATTCACTAGCCTTCTAAATGAACGAAATTAAATTGTTCCAAAAATTATGGTTTAAACTTTAAAATAATAAAAACATCTCAACCTTTAACAATACTCAAAAGACCAAAATATTTAAATTGTTTTCAGAAAGATAATTTAATGATTAAAAGCATAGAGTTCAAGTTGTCGTGTTATAAATTTGAGTTGTTAGTCTTTTTTCAGCTGGACATTTTCTATTTTTTTTATTAACTATGTAAATTAGGGGTGTACATGGAACGGGTTGGTTCGGTTTTTATCAAAACCAAACCAAACCAATTATATCGGTTTGGATTGTTCGGTTTTGTTGGATTTTTTAAGTTTTTTGTTACATAAATATTATTTCAATCTTACTTTGTTAAATTTTTTAGAACTAAATATATGTTCAGTAAAAATTAAAAAATTGACAAACATATGATCTATAAAAATATTCTTATGGGAGAATTTTCTTAGTAATTGGAATTCATGAATTTTGTCAAGTGAAATTGGTGACGAAAATGGAGAAGACATCAGTAATGGAGGAAATCGGATAAGGGAGAAAGAAAAAGGAAAAGAAAAAGAGAAGAAAAGAAAAAAGAAGAAAGAAAAGAGAAAGGTAAAGAAAAAAAATACTAATAAAAAGGAAATAGTATTTGTAATATACTTTAATACAATTAACGAAAGAGCTAATTAGTTTGGGTGAATTCCGTTTCGAAAAGGGCATATATGAGTCAACTGTGTAACTCTAAGGGCATATATGGACCAACTATGTGACGGTAAGGACATATTTGAGCTAAAGTATTAACGAAGGGCAAATGTGCTTAATTTAGTATAGTACAAAGGCATATTTGGACCTTTTCCGTAAATAATATACTCCATATAAATCCATATTTTAAAAATAAAGTGAATTCAATACTGAAAATTTTAATTATTAAATCCATAAAATTTATATAATGAATCCACCGCTGGTCGTAGAAGCAATAATCTTTTAACATATGAGATTCCTAGTCTTCTTCATTATTGTCATTGAGTGTCGAACAGCCAAGCTCAACAATCCTAAATTTCATCTTATTTTAAGCCCAAAAGCAACCCCTTGGAATTGTCTTCCAAGAGGCAAGAAGAACTATCCAACTGGAGAAAACGGTATACGGTAGAAAATTTAGGATGTATGTGATATATATCGCGAATGTAAATTTATATCAGTATTAGTTTTATTAGGTCATTAATTAATGCTTACTAGGTTATCTCTAGATTATTTAGTGCATATAAAAAAAGGCAAAAAGAACTTTTAGTTATATATAAAATGTTGAATCCCATTGACATGAGGAAAGATTTTAGTGTAGCGGCAAGATGGTTCAAAATTCACCTAAGATTATAGGTTTAAATTCTAGGTGTGACATTTAGTAGAGCTTTTTTCGTATTTAGAACTCCCTAATGTGTAGTCCTGACTCAGCCGTTGATTTTGATACGATATGTTTTTGCTTTTCTTACATTCAAATTCCAAGTTTACTGAAAATCCTCCTAGTTAAATTCAGTTTTTGATGGTTCTGGATACTCTGGATAGAAGAGACCCATAGTGATGCCATTATCTGTTGAGAAACAAATAGGCATTGGACAATGAGAGAGATGCAATAACATGCAAGTGACATCTTGGTTTCAATTGTCATTGTAGTTCCCTAGCTATGTTATTAACAAATTCAATTTCAATGATTTTTTACTACCATGTAATTATGTGAAAATGTCATATTGGGAATCTTATGAACAAATTAATTTGTAATAAAGCTCATACCCCTAACAGTAAAACAAAAAGGAAAATTCTAATGCATGCTATACAAAAAGCAACATTTTTATTAGCTTCATGCTTAATGAACTGAATTACAAACTTACAATACAATGAAAGTTTACCACCATAAAATTACGTTCCACAAACTAATCAGAAAAGAAAAGAATATCCACAACAGAGATACCATTATTAAACATAACAATACAAAAAGGATTAAAATTTTGCAAGGGAAATAGCTTATCAAAGTGTCTCTTAGTTTCGGAAGGCACAATGCTTTCTGATTTCACCTGCTTTACCAGTAAGAACTCCAATTTTGCCCATTTTTATCATTGATTCTCCAAAATCTTTGAAGAAAGTGGATCCATAGGGATTTACTTGAGACAAAACATAAGCTTTTGTTTGACTATCGGTGAGAAGAGCTGCATCAGATGCGAATAACCCTCTTCTTTTGCTAACCATGGTGTAATAATCAGTGTCAAAACTTTTGAAACTTCCAGGGTCCATTTCGACAATGGTGGTCACATCTCCTGACTTACATTTGATCTTCAAACGACCTATGTAGTTCTGATCCATGTTCGGGTCCATGTCACCTTTGCCAGTGAAATTGTACAAACGGCTTGAGAAGGAAAAACAATGTGACATTCCAATAGTGTGTCCTCCTACGAATAAACAAGGAGAAAATAAAAGAATATAAATTTTGGATTTGTTGAATTAATGTAACTCTTCCACATGTAGTTGTTTCACGGTAAAATATCAATTTTACCTGATAAAACAACAAGGTCTTTTACATTTAAGCCCAAGGAGCCAAATGTTGTTTTAAGAGTAGTGAAGTTATCAAAAGGAGTTGGCAAATTCTTTAAGGCATCTAAGAGTATTGAAACTCTCCCATCTCTTCTTCCCAAGGGAACTGCCCAAGTTGGTCCATTAATCTGAAATAACCCTATAACATATTATATAAGTATTTGAAATTCTAATAAATTGATTGAATTTACTAAGTATTTATTTAGTTACCAGTTCAACAGCATCACGGGCTGCTAAGGCTAAAATATCAGAGCAAGACACAATGCCAGGACACTCTTTCTCTAAAGCAGATTTAGCAGCATCAATTACTTGGAATCCCCTCAGGCTTTGATTTGGAATTGCATCTTTCTCTGCTTGATTACCTTTTGTTGAATTCAGTAGTACCGAACCATCACATCCCTACATTAACAAAAAGATATAATAAGGAAAAACAGTATATCCACGACATAAACATGATACATAAGGCATTCAATCGCGACGGTTACCCTAACAAAACAATCATGAAAATGCATTCTCAAGAGTGGAGCAGCCAAGGTAGGAGCACGAGAAATGTAGTGAGCTGTTGTTTGTTTGACAATTGCCTCTACATTTGGACATGTTTTCTTATAGAAGCCTAATTCTACACCTTGAGAATTAGCAACCTCCAATATGCAAAATATTTGAAGAATGAGAAATGAAAGAAGTTTTAATGTTGCCATTATTCTTTTTGGAAAGATGATGAAGAAAATCTCACTGACTTGCTTGCTTTAAGTGATGATTGGGACACACAAATGCATGTCCATTAAATAGGAAGCAGATGGTGATATATCAATCCTTTAATTTTTATTTGTTAAGATGGCAGAGCTGCAGGTAGGAAAGTTGATTTTAATATTTAGCAGTTAACACCTTCTAACTGTAGCAATTTTTAATGTTCTTGTTGCTAATATATGCCAAATAAACTCACCAAAAACCAAAATTTCTCTATCAGAAAATCTTTAAAAAATTATGTGGAAACAGTCTTATCTAAAAATTTTAGCTACTTCAATATCATGTTAAACCACATGATCATCTCATCTAAAAATTTTAATTATTTGAGAGATTACATTTATATTTACTTAATTATATTTTAAATAAAAAGAAGATTATATATGCTAATTTTCTCTTTTGGGTATAAGCAATTTATTTTGATAGAGGTTTTATTAAGTTTCAATAGATTAACACCTGAAAACTGTGTTACTTCTCTCTCTCACACACACACACATCACACCTTTGGGCAATAGGGAGCAAAATGAAACTTCTTTACTTTTCCTGTCTTCTTTATGTATCCTGTGGAGAAAACTGAGCTTTAATTCTGCAGTGAAAAATTATTTTTTTTTGACTATTTGGCAGTAATAATTAGGCTCAATGTTTTGAAACAGTCAAATAAATAAAAGAGGAAGGTATGATATACTATTATTAAATCAAAAGATCCAATTTGGTGCATAGAATTGATTTTCCTATAATTAGTTATGGCTGTCAAACGCATTAGGGGAATCTGCAACCAAATCCTCGGTGCCCTGCAAATAAAAACTGCTAATCATGTACATTTATCTCTGTTTATTGATTCACTAAACCAACTTGCCTTTGGACACTCTCATCTGCTCTTGAATATTTAATAGAACACGGCCAGAACAGCTATATATGATTCACACAGCTTCAGATTTCATATGAAACTATATAATACGATACGATACGATACATTATGAAACGATACATAACAACCATCCGAACAAGCTGTAAGTGAATTTGCGAGTCACAAATACTCAGTAAGTCTCATTGACTCTTCCTAAAACATGAATGCATGAGATAATGCAAGGTCATATAATCATGTCATATACCACAT